AAAACAGGGGTCGGATGCTGAAGCAAGATGGCGCGATAGTTGCCTTCCCCGATCTATACCAGCGGCCCAGAAATGCCAGTAGATGTAAAGGATGGGGTATCCGTCGTCCTCCCGGAAGATGGGACGTGGACGGACCTGGAACCAGCGTATCAAACGACAATGCTGGAAGGGGAAGACGCGTTCCTTTGGATAGAGACAGTATGGACTAATGTCAACTTGACAACGTTGTCGCCAAGCTTAATGGATTTGGAATTCCAAGGGACAGTGGAAGCCCGGGGGTGGGTCTACTTATCACAAGATGGGCAGAATGCTATGGTCATAGAGTTGGCACTCAGGAATACGTTGGACGAGTTGTTTAGGAAGGCAGAAGCGGAGGTTGTATGGGCTGCGTGTCAGCGAAGGGAAATGGAAATGGAAAGGATAGACGTACGGGTGGAACTTGGGAATAGAAGAAGCATGAGGCGACCCGTCAGAACCATGCGATGTGTATTGCCTCCCTTCTTGGTGGATGCGGTTTTCGGAACCTGAAGCAGGCTAGTACGGATATGTCAGTCCATGACAAACCTCGGACTATACCAGAGCGCTAGGCAAAGTTTCTTTCGGTTGTCGATAGAAATGGGGCCGTTTGAGGGAAACTGGGCGGATGAGCTGGCCGAGGTACTAAACTGCCTTAGTGTAGACGATGTTTTTGTCTCTAGCTCCGTGCATTGGGGGATAATCTATAGAAATGTGGCAATAGGGGAGACGTTCCTGGAAGGGGTGAAAGAGTTGTTCTACGACGGGGAGGACAACCTCAGTGATGAGGACGAAGATGATGGGATAGAGGACTGAGACTTCTAAGGGGGGTCACTTAACTTAGGGACAACGGGTGGCCTGGCATTGTGCAGAAAGGGGAAAAGATGACTAGAGAGGAAAGGATAATGGAATACACCTTCAAGGGCTGGGAACCAAGGCGGCTCCGAGGAGGAATAGAAATGCCTATACCAACGGAAAACGAGTGGAGGCGGACCACGCGCGGCTGGGTTGGGTTTGAGATTGCCCGAGAATTATCATATGTATGGATAGAACGGATTTGGAACCCGATAAGGGAAGAGGAAGGACGGGACGAGATAGCAGAAGGCAAAGTGGAATCGGTCGGGACCATTGTCCTTTCCGAGGACGGGTGGCACCTATTTTGCACTACGTTAGCGATGGGACAGGATCCGATGTGGCTTCTGGGGAATGCAGAGGCGCGAACCCGAAAAGAAGGCAAGAGGTTCGCCAACGAGGGGTGGGACGAAGTTAGTAGCAGAGTTGTGATGGGAGGATGGAGGGAACTCAGACCTCCCTGCCTGCGCACAACAGCGTGGGTGCCCGAGTTCGTGGCCGACTGGTTCGGGGTTTCGAGCACATAGCAGAAGTGGTACGTGGCCGACTCCATGAGGGAAGTACACATAGAATGTGTCTGGCTGACCGCGGAATTTTATAGGGTCTCCTTAAAATATGGGCCCTTCTACGGCGATAAAGCCAGTGAGGTCATCACCGTCCTAAGGATAGGAAAGTACGACCGTCTAGAGGTAGACGCAAGTGGGACGCCATAGTTAGCCGGGAGGCGGCGGTCGCGCCATGCTACGTTGACGATGTCTTTACGCTGTTTGAGGTACTGTGGTTCGATTAAAGGGACCCGAAAATCGAACGTCGCAGGGAGGTAGGGGTATGGAGGGTGTGTGTGAACTAGGATGTAGCATAAGAGAAGGAGGCATGTACATTAGTTAGCAGGGGATGCGAGGGGGTTGAAACAAGATGAGGTAGCAACACCAAAGGAAAAGGGGGGAAGAAGACTTGTACGTGTATGGGGCAGGGATGGCAGGAAGAACCGGTGTACGATAGGTAGGGAGTGTTAAAAGACTAAAGCACGAAAGGCATGGGATCTCAGTGGATGCAGCTATCGGACTAAGGAAGCCGGAAAGGAGACATTGCAAGATGGCCCAGCGAATGACATTCTGGGAGGATAGGCCTCGCGGGATCCTACCACCAAGAGCATCGGGGGGCAGGGTCGAAATAAGCCTGCCGTCAAGGAACGCGGTGAGTAACCCAGTAATGGACTGGGTGGGGGTAGAATTGGTGGAAGACACGGTGTACCTAGTAGTAGAGTTGGAGTGGCGTGCGAGAGGAGAATTCAGGTGCATAAATTTAGAACTCCCAGGGCGCGTGCATGCGACGAGATCCCTACACCTATCGGAAGAAGGGTGGCGGACCTTTGGGATTGCCTTGCATTCCGGGGATGACCACGTGTGAATGTTCGAAGGAGCATGGCAAATAACCTGGCGGGAGGGGTTTGAGTTCGCAGATCCAGAACGGGATGACGTGACGGCTGAGGTAAAAGTCGTCGCAACAGGGGTCTTGGAGTTACCAAATGAGGTCGCACGGATGAGTCTACCACCCTTTCTACTAAGACGACTGGGAGGCGTAGAGCGAGTGGAGCAGGTGGTAGCTGCCATAACCAGGCTAAATTTTGACGAAACATTAATGTATCAAGAATACTATCGGGCCTTCCTAGAGATGGGGCCTTTCGAAGACGAATAGGGGCACGAGGTGCTTTGCATATTACGAGCAGCAGTAAATGCTAGGCCAGGAGGTCCGCAAATAAGTGATGAGGCCGCGTGGGGAGTCATCCGGCAGGAAGTAGGTCGGGGCGGGACCTACATAGATGACCTTTACCGGCTGTACGAGCAGCCAGAGGAGGTTGCTGCCCTCGGGGGTATGGAGGGATAGCTGGGACCAAAGCAGAAATATGAAAACATGAAGGGTAAAGGGGGCAGTAGGTGGGCGTTTACTGAGGATTGGCTGTAACCCTTTCTATATGGACTATGCAGGGAATCACCAAGGCAACAATGGCAGCAAGACATGTGCAAATGGAACGCCAGCCCTGTGTGCGAATGGAACGCCAACCCCGGTACCCCGGACCGCCCTGGAATAACGGCGGACGATGGGAAGTATCCCTCCCATAGAGTTCCAACTATCGGGGAGTCGACGTAGAATGGCGGGCCGTAAGTTTGGGAAGAGACACCGCCTTCATGTTGGTAGAATGTCGGTGGACGGGGATGAGAATCAACCGGGGACCAGGGGATGATCTATTCTCCAGTTTAGAGGTAACCGGGGTCCAGTGCCTACCCAAGGCTGGGTGGCACTTGCTGGGGATAGGAATAGCACAAGGCCACCTGGCTCCCGTCTTTCGGAGGGCGGCCCGGGTGTTGACACGAATAGGACAATCAGTCAGGGGTAAAAGAAACGTGGACTTACTTACCCGGGTGGAAATGGGAGGTTGGAGGGAATTCAGGGCACCAACCACACCACTGAGGTGTCGAGTTTCCCGTTTTATGATAGACCTCGTCTTCGGGAGCCTCGCGAGGGCGCAGGAGCTGGCCGACTCGGTGATAATCTGGGCAGACCACTTCCCCTCCCCGACCATTGGGATGTTCTACGATGTCGCTATGGAGTATGGGCCGTTCTGGGGAAACAGGGCCCACGAGTTACTGGAAGTCATCCACATCCTGATGTTCAGGGCGCCATGGCTAGACTGGGCGGGATGCGAACGCATAATCTGAAGGGAGATCGAGATAGGGGAAAGTTATCTAGCGGGGGTGGCGCAACTATTCGAAGAGCCTACCGAACCGGAAGGGCCACGAGGGCGGGAACGGGACTAACACCCGCAAGCAGGCCAATAGGGCAAATCGAGTATACTCCGCTATGTACACAAGTTCGCCGATGGAAATAAGAAAGGGTCTCGGACCTGGATGATCGGAACCTGCTAGACAATAAAAAAAAAGAGGGGGGGGGGATAGACTCCTAATGATTGTCGTGACCCTTAAGGTCGAAAAGGGGAATACTGCTCGGGAAACTCTCCCTAGCAGGCTCGACGGGCCAAGGGCGCTCTAAACGAGCCTGTGATAAAGGAAAATAAGTCACGCCCTTAGCTCGACATGGCAGCAGGGCTAGTCGTGGCTTCTTCTTAGGGAAGCAATCAAGAAACGGAAATAGGGGGAAGGCTATTTCCCAAATAAAGATAAGCCAACGAAGTCGGAACCTAGGGAACCTAAATGCCTCACGTTTGCGTGTGTCCTGGGGAATTCTCTGGTTTATGCAGAACTAGGGAAAATGGCAACAGAGGATGAGACGGGTAACCGTAAGAGTGAAGGAGGACCACGCTTAGGAGGCAGTGCCGTACAAAGCGAGGAAGGGCAGAAAGACAGAGAATCGATAAATCCGGATGGTACCAAAGGGAACTAGAAGGAAATCTCCTCAGGGGAAAGCTCCCGGAAAGCCGGGGGAAGCAGTCAAGGGACTCAGGAAACCAAGGAGGGCAGGAATAAGAATAGGACAAGCCCCCGAAATTCAGAGGGAGCTGTGTCTAAGAAAGTAAGGGTCGCGGATGCGAGGCACAAACTAGCAGAAATAGAAAAAAGGACCGCGGAGTACAAGGCAAGATTGATCGAGGAAATGATGACTGGGAACGAAGAAGGCCCGCTGCAGGAAGAGCCGCGAGATGAACGGAGGACCGGCCGAGGCGGAATTAGGCAAGGGGATACGGGTAGTGACCGAGGGGGAACTCCAAGCAAAAGAAGGAAAAAAAGAGAGAGAACTCCCCAGGGATGGAAGCGAAGAAAGCTACGAACCCACCAGCCATAGATAGTAGGGCTATCCGCCTGCCGACCACACCAGCGGTCACGAGAGGATGTGAGGGACTCTGGAGCCTTAGGGAAAGGGTGTTGGGATGGTTCGACCCGGAAGGAACTGCAAAGACTAGGGAGGTACAGGAGGCCGGCAAGAAAGGACCAAATACCAGTATGGCGGGTGAGGCCAGTAGTTTTGAGGGCGGCCTTAAGAAGATAGTATCATCCCTCGCACGAGCACTGAACAAAAATCAGGGCTACCTAGCGGACACTAAGAAAAAGTTGACGTTCGACTGGGCAAACATCACGGAGTTCCTAATCGACTATGAGAACCTAGCTGAGCTGCTAAAATGGACCGAAGAATAAAAAATGGACCACCTAGGACAGCATGTTTCACTGAGCCTACGGCGGGACATAATGGCCATTGTGGCCGCGAGCCGGTCTTGGAAAGAGACCCGGGATGTGATGATGAGAAAATATTTGGCAGCAAAGAAGATGACGACGGAGGCCGATTTAGCGGCAGTCCAGAGGAAGAACTTCGTAGCGTACAATGACTTCCTAAGGGAGTTTACTTTGCTAGCCCTAAGGATCCCCGGGGTTACGCACCGGATAATGAGTAAGTACTTCCTCAGACAGTTCTCCGAGTTCGACAAGGACAAGATCCTGTCAGCTTACCAACAGACGAGCAAATTCGTAAATATCAGGGACGTTGATTTCAATACCGTAATGGATCTGGCTGAGAAGACGGTAGTGACCGAGACATTGGCCTTGCTTAAGGAAGGGGAGATCATAGATCTGACCGGTAGGACAGGCGACAAGGTAAAGAAGGGGATTAAAAGTCTACATGAACGGGTGCACGGAGTCGACAACAAAATTGAAAGGGTGGAGAACGCGCTCCTGGTTATGCAGGCGCAAGTATCCCGACCCAACCTCCCTCCCCAGGAAGCCGTAGTTCCGCCAGGTGTAGCCAATCGAGGGTTCGGACGGAGGGATCCTGCTAACGAACAATGCAGGTATTGTACCGCAATGGGACATTATGTGCGCGCATATCCAAAACTCAACCATGATATATTAAAAAGGAGATGTACCAGGTCATTAAAGGGAGAGATATTCGGACCACAGGGACAACGGGTGAATTGGAACTCGCCAGGGGGGATGCGGCGAGCCGTTATCATGCTCAATGGGCTAGAGATAGCAGCCGTAGAAGCTGAGCCGGTGGTCGAAATCATCTGGGACCAACTTCGGGGCCGCGGGCTGGAGGTCAACTTCATTTTGGAAAATGACGGACGTGATAGGGTGAACGCGACTACTCGGCTAGGGACGGCCGGGAGAAGGATTATCCGTGACACCGTGATGGAGTTGGTTGTTGGAAGCTCCGTACCCCAAGCAAAGCCAGAGGCCGGAGATTCAGAGAAAGCCTATGGGAAGCCTAGGGAAAAGGAGCCTACGGACAAGGTTACCGCTGCTAAGAAGAAGTTTAGATACCAAATCCCGATCTTAACCTTGCCCGAGATCGACGACACACTTAGCAAGTTGGCAGGGACCATGGTGTCGGTGTCGTTCCAAACCATGCTGCAGGCCAGCCTTAGGTTGCTCAAAGGGCTTAGACAATTGTTGACTCGGCGTCGAGTGGAGATAGACAAAAACCCCGAAGCACCGGAAGAAGAAAGGGAGGAGGAAGTCCCGCAAGAGATCGCTAACCTTCAGAGGAGTCGCGGGGATTTAGAGGATCTTGAGAAAGCCTTTGCAGACATCCGTTTGAGCTTACCAGACCGAGAAGGTGGCGAAGTCATGAGGGCACCTCCTGGGACAAAGCTCAGTTTCCATACGCTACCCGTAGGAAAATTAAACATTCTGATTGGAACTCATCATACCGACGCATTAGTAGACGGGGTAGCAGAAATCACTCTCATAAGGAGGGATTTCGCAACGGTCACGGGCTGTACGGTAAATAAGGAAGTAACAGGGAGCATCCGGGGAGCCGGTGGGGAAATTCCGTTCGTTGGGTATGTCATGAAGTGCGCAGTCAAGGCAGGCGTCAGGGAATCGATCTGGTCGTTTCAACGGATGACCGTAATGGAGGAAATGGATCACGACATAATCCTTGGGAGGCCATGGTGCGCAAATGTAGAAATGATAGGCATGCACTTGCACGATGGGACGTACATGGCAGACATAGAGGACCCAGTGACCGGCCGGGGTGAGCTCCTCCGACTCCTCGGAACGGGAGGGGACCCTCCGAAGGGGAAGTTGGCAACGTGGTCGTCGTCATTTGAAGATAGCGCACGGAAAGGGGCTTTCGCACGGATGGAGGGCATGAGAGAAAGGGTAGAAATTATGATTGAGGAGGCGTTCAACAAGAAGGAATGGATCAAGATGGGCCTGCCCCAGAAGAAGAGGAGGCAGGAGGACGAAGTCTTAGGTCTTATGGTAGCAGAGAAGGAGTCAGAAGTCGAACTCGGTGCCAGCCTGCCCAAACGGAAAGAAATGTACGCATGGACGTGCCAGAAGTCGCACTTGAGATCCCCGATTTGTTACAGCTCATCAAGGCCCTTAGATACCACAAGGTAGGAGTGGACTCGACGGCCTTGGCCAAATTCGAAGGAGAGGTGCAAAAGGGATATTGCCTGAATGGAAAATTAGTTAGTATTCAGCCCCGGGTCGTAGAGGCAACGAGGGTAATCCCGACCGTTCATTTTTTCGGAGAAAGATCCCGAAAGGAAGTGTTCGAAAATACAAGCCGGTAGAAAAGAAGGCAAAACCGGTCTCGATCCTGCTAGAGACGTCAAAGGAAGAGGCTATGGAGAAGGAGGAGGAAGTCCTCCGGGTGATCCAAGAGAGAAGAGCGACAGAAGGGCATCGGATACCAGATGAGGTAGTTGATACAATGAAGATAGGGGTAGACGGATTCCTAACAGAAGAGGAAAACCGCCTGATCAAAAAGACTTGCCAAGAGTTTCACCTGGCATTTGCCTTTAGTGATCACCAAAAGGGGCGGTTGGACGCGAAGCTGATTCCTCCGATCAGAATCCACACGGTAGAACATGAGTGCTGGAATGACAAGGGTCCGTCCTATGAATTTGGGATAGCAGTGGAAGTGACAGACCTTCTTCGAGCGAAGATGGACTCCTTCGTCGCAGAACCTACGGCGTCGCCATACGCAAACCGGTGGTTCGTCTTTCGAAAGCCCAACAAGACGCTAAGGTGGATTCAGGATCTGCATAAATTGAATGTGGTAACCATCCGGGATGCTGACTCGCTACCTCAGGCTGATTTATTAGTAGAGTCGCACGCCGGTCGGAGCATTTACTCTCTGATCGATCTGTACTTAGGATACGACAAGCTTCCATTGGATGTCCGGGACAGGCCTTACACCGCAATGCACACCCCCATAGGACAGTTGCAGATGCAGGTGACTCCTATGGGCTTTACGAACGCGGTAGCCGAGGCACAAAGGAGAATGGTCGTCGTAGCCGGAGACATGTTTCCAGAAAAATGTGAGCCCTATATTGATGACAATCTGATCAAAGGCGCCCAGGAGAAAGACGAGACGGAAGTCCAGCCAGGAATCCGAAAGTTTGTATGGGACCACCTACAAGACATCAAAGACTTACTTCGCCGTTTCCTAGTATACAACATCACAACTACTGGACCAAAGAGTATTCTCCCGGTACCAGAGGTAACTATACTAGGATTTCGCTACGGTGCTTACGGTAGGAAGCCAGATCCGCGAATACAGACAAGATATCGCAGTGGCCAACACCCCTCGGACGACAACAGAGGTAAGAGCATTCCTAGGCGTGGTCGGCTCTTGGAGAATTTTCATTAAGAATTTTGCCAAGATTGTTGAACCTATCCAAGCTATGATCAGAGAAGAAGGAACCATAGACTGGACGGAAGAGCGGGAAGGAGCCGTCCAAACGCTTAAGGACATATTGACCTCTGAGAAAGTCGCTTTGTCCGCACCTTGTTTCAATGACGAAGTGGGACGACCTTTCATCCTAGAAACAGAAGGAGAACCTTTGGCTGTCAGTAGGGACTTTCTCAGAGGAAAGTTTGCCGAGGAACAGAGTGGACAAGGAATCGGGCAAGCTGAGGCACAAGGCAGCAATAGGAACTAGATGTTGATTTAGCATTGAACAGGATTCCTGCTTTCCTGTTTGCAAAAACATGCGAACGACAAAAATGTGTATAGTATGAGTAAGCTTGCTAAGAACAAGTGATGAGTGGGCTAGCTAAGACTGTGTCACGATAAGTTAGAAGATAGCTTTTGAAGCTACTTTCCGGATGAGCTACCTTCGAAAGTAGGTACACAAGACAATGACATGGGGCATGGGGAGAGACTCGTTGGGAAGGGTGTATTGTGAATTTGGATTGTGCTTTAAGAAGAAAAACCTTGAGTACAGATTGACGAGCAGGGCCATAGCATTGAATGTTGGTCGAGTACAAGAGAGGTGAGGGAATCTATGGGTTAAGAGGCGTGAAGAACACTCCTTCCCTAGGAGCCTAATCCAACTGAGTCATGAATGAGTCTGAGAATAGCCAAGATCTGAGTCATCGGAACGAGTGAAGATAAGAGGGGGCGCCCCTGTCTCTTGCTATGGTTGAACGGCCGGGTGGGCTAGTGCTGCGTGGGATTGCGAGCTCCAACTCGAGTACTAGACGCTAAGTCGGATGTATGTATGGATAGTATTTTGCTTTGAGGAATGGATGAAAGGAAACCGTACGCATAAAACTGAAAAAGAGATGGCCATCTTCTAACCTCCGAGACAGAAATGGTATCCGTGTCCTCGAGGCCCACCCCCTCGGGTGCTAACATTGAGAATGGAAAGGAATGGCCCTAACCAGGCTATTCGACTTGAGAATGGAAAGGAATGGCCCTAACCAGGCTGTTCGACTTGAGAATGGAAAGGAATGGCCCTAACCAGGCTGTTCGATTTGAGAATCGAAAAGAACGACCCTAACCAGGTTGTTCGGAAATGGCCCCTGACAAGGGTCATTTCTTTTGAAATAGGCACTGGGGTCCCCTGCATAATTGATTGAGAAAGGTTGATTGAGAAAGGTTGATTGAGAAAGGATGATTGAGAATGAGCTGGAATGAGCACTGAGAGATGGAAAAGGCCGGTGGGTTGGTCATTGAAATAGCCAATGGGATGGATGAAAGAGATGGAAAAGGCTGGTGGGTCGGTCATTGAAATAGCCAATGGGATGGATGAAAGAGATGGAAGAGGCCGGTGGGTCGGTCATTGAAATGGCCAATGGGATGGATTAAAGAAACGAAAAAGGTCGGTGGGTCGATCATGGAAATAACCAAGAGGATGGATGAAAGAGAATGAGAAGGGCAGGATAAAGAAGGACGAGCCTTAAAGTCAAGAAGGGCAGGGACCGTTGGGACGGCCACAAGGATTGGGTGTTGAGGTATGAGAGAGTTGAGGATTGAATGGGCCGAAGGGCCGGTCTTGAGGAATGGCTATTGAAAGAACGACCACCAGATCGGCCATGTGGGTGGTCCTGATTGATGAGAGGCTGTCGGACCAGCCATAAGAATCAGCCTTGGAAATAACATTGGATTGAATGTTTGAGAATTGGATATTGCATTGCATAGTCAGGGGACCTTAGGCAATTTGATGTAAGGTTGTCGGGCCGACCATGGAAATAGCAAGAAATTGAGTTTTCCCTTTCTTCTAGAGTCAGGTCTCGACATAAGGAGGAAAGTGATGCATGCATCCCAACCCCAGGACCTCTACCCGTCAAGGGAAAAGTCTCAGCGCGCCCCATTCCTTATAAGGGAAAATAAGGGCTGAAGGACCAAGGCATCTTTCTCTTTGATTGATGCGGGCCGTCCGGAACTAACTCCGACAACAAGCTCTAGCCGGGGAGTTCAAACTGCGCCTCATGCCGATAACCTAAGAGTCAAGGGCGTGGAGCCAAACGGGCGAGACAGCCATTCTTTTTCCTAAGTCTCATTTTTTCTCCCCAACCACACGCCATATCGTAGAGGGACGACACGACCGTTTGGAATGGACCACGGCTGCTCTCATTAAGTTCAACAGCACTGTCCAGAGGGCGAAGTCAGGCGTGGTACCGGGTGGAAGCCGCGACCACCATAGGGCGAGTGACACCGCCCTGCCGGATCATTACAACTGTTCCGAGACTAACCGCGAGGTCTTCATAACTGCACTCGCAAACTAATTGAGAGTCTCAACTCTCTTGAAAGAAAAAGGACGGATCCAAGAAAACACCACTCAGGAGGAACGATTCACGAGAAGGCACTTACGACAAGCCGGATCCTGGGAGGTTTGGACTGGACCTACCTACCAGATGTGAGGAGGTACCTCAGTGATGACGCCCGTCTCGTAAGCGGCAAAAGGTCAGACGGAGTAGAGGATGAGGTGAGGTATCACCAGGGGGAGGACTGATCACCCTTCCTTTTTTGGGACTGATGGGTCGGCATCCGTCTACTCGTTGGTGGGCCAAGGTCTGCGTACCTCCGAGTGAGAACTAGTCGTGCGATTGGGACATCCTATTTTGAGTGGGGGGAAGGTATGCCATCTACCGATGAAAAAGCATGCAAAAAAGAAGGTTACCATGAACTCAAGGAATTGTATAATTGACTTTGCGCAGGTTTGAGAAAAGGTCTGGCAAGATGTCCAGAAGAAGGAAATGGATGTATAATTGACTTGCACAAGCTTGAGAAAAGGCCTGGCAAGAGGGCCAGAAGAGAAATGGATGAGTAATTGACCTTGCGCGGGCTTGACAGAAGGCCTGGCAAGACATTCAGAAGAGAAAGGCATGGGTGGTTGGGTATGCATAGGCTTAAGGAAAGGACTGGCAAGACGCCCAGAAAAGTATATGTGTAATGGATTTTGCATGAGTTTGAGCAAGGTCTGGTGAGATGTTGGAAGAAAGATGCGTATGGAATGGACTAAGTAATGCGGATTTTGAGAATGGGGGTGACATGCATACGGGATTGCCATGGCTGGAGAAAACTGGGCAAAAGAACATGGGAAAAATACATGTGAATTTGGCAAAACGTGAGATTGAGGAAAGAATGACGAGAGGCATGGACTGCACGGGCCGAAAAGCCAAGTAAAAGAAGCACTGAGGGCAACTGGGGCCTGAAAAGGAACGTGGCTAGCATGCGGTGGATGGAGGAACAATAAAAGAGGCGCTGGGGATAGCAAGGCTCGGGGAGAAGCAGGGGCCGCAAGGAAAGGGGAGTTGAAAGGAGGATTGATGCTCTGAGGGTGATGAACGAGACGAAAAAGGTTTTGATGCTCTGATGGTGATAAACGAGACGAAAGGGGTTTTGATGTTTTAAGAGTGATGAATGACACGAAAGGGGCTTTGATGTTTTAAGAGTCATGAATGAGACATGACTAAGTGTCGGGGACCACCGACGAGCTAAGTGTCGGGGACCACCGGCGGGACTAAGTGTCGGGGACCACCGGCGGAGCTAAGTGTCGGGGACCACCGACGGGACAAGTGGCGGGGACATGTGAAAGTCCGAAGAAGAAACGGCGGCACCGCATGAGAAAAAATAATAAATCAAGTTGCACCGTCAAGATCGAGATCTTGACGGCCAAGAATATTAGCACCAGTAGTACAAGCACTAGCGGTACCAAATGGGAAGGCCGAAAAGAAAAGAAAAAGTAAAGAAACTTGAGGTGGGAGGCATGGGAGCAATCCGAAAAATCTCGGATCAGCCTCCCTCAAGAAAATAGAGTCAAAAGAAACCCCATGTGAAAAATAGCCCTCCGGGACAAAATCGGAGTAGGAGGGGCCACTATGGTAGGAAAATAGGAGTGAAGGGAAACTCCCATGGGCATGAGAAGGCCATTATTGCAGTCCGAGATATAACGGACAGCACTTTGGGCATAGGAAGGCCCGAAACTAAGAGGAAGAGGCTAGAAAAAGGCCTTATCGGCCACTTGACACTTGACATGCTAGAAAAAAAAGAGAAAAGAAAAGAAAATGTGGGAGAATAAAACAAAAAGGGTGAGAGGGAGTGAGTGAGTTGGCCGTCAGTAGGGACTGCCACAAGTAGGGACTGGCAGGTCCCTACTGTCCAAGAAAGGAGGAAAAGAAAAGAAAAGAAAAAGAAAAGAAAAAAAAAAAAGGCCTTAATCGTAAAAAACGGTCACTTGGGGAGATTCGTCCGTGACCAGATTCATTCTCGAATATGGAGGTTACAAAGGACTTGGATTTTCTTTGATTTTTGCAGAGAAAATCAAAGAAAATCAAGGCCCCATGCAACCGAAATAAAACGTATTGTATGCATGAGGAGAAACACATGTTTTAGGTGCATCCGGAGCCAAAATCAAGTCCACATACACTTGGGGGTTGGCCGTTTCTTTTTCTTTTGAGTAGTTGTGGGGCATTGGGGCTAGGGAATTGACCCCCATTGCAGTCCGAGTTGCAATGGACTGCATGGGGATGCCTAGGCTACGGGAAAATGAGCCACGACAAGCCCGGAAGGCTAGAAATGAGCGATTTCGGCATGGGTTAAGTAAAGACGGTAAACGGTAAACCGTGAGATGAGATCTCACGGCCTCGAAAAATCGGCACACATGTAGAGAGGATAGGACCACAAAGGACAAGGGGGCCCCAAAAATAAAAATGGAACACCATCCGGAATGTTGCCGGCGGCCAGCTGGGTCCAAATAATAAAAATAAAAAAACGGGGCATGCGCCGGCGGGACCGCCGGCGAGACAAGAAAATGGAACTAGTATGGAGGAGAGTGGCGGGGACTTGGGATGTCCCAAGGGGACAATGAGCAAGAACAAGAAACGTTTGTGCAAACAAATGGCACCGTCAAGATCAAGGATCTAGACGGTGGAAAATATTAGCACCACTAGTGCAAGCACTAGTGGGGGCCAGTGGGAGAGCCATGGGGAGAAAAGTAAGCAAAATAAT